CTCTGCCCCCTGCCCCCCATTCTCCATGCCGCCCCTTCATCCCAGATCCCCTGCTTCCTGCTGGCCGGTTCTCCCCCTCCCCCCGTCTCCCCCAGCCAGCCCCGCTCCCCCCGACTTCCTCTTCCCCAGCCCCACTCCCTTCCTGACTGGTCCCCCTGTTCCCCTCCATCCGAGATCAAGTGTGTCCGTGGTTTTTTTTTTGTTTGTTTGTTTTTTAAGCCATCTGGTAACCCTACCTGCAGGCATGATGTACATTTAAAACCTTTAGTTTAAATGTTTCCTAGGGGCCTCTACGGAGATATTTTCAGATATTTCTGAAGATAATCAGAGTTGTGTAATGATATATAGATGCATTGAGTGTTTCAGTAAAATTCAAAGATTTGCGGTGCCTTTACATATGCTTCAACTGAAGTCAATATTAATTATTAAATAAAATATGGTATCAGAGTTAGAAGCATGTAATTTTAAATCTGAAACTGTCATATGGGCCATCTTTTAATTCATTTATTTTGTTAGTCTATAACTGTTAACAGGGTCTTTAAAAAAAACAATACTCAGTAGGTGTAAGCTCTTCGAAGGGCGTCAGGCAAATTTGAAATGGTCCACACTGCACAGCTTAAAGCTAACTATTTCTTTATTTGATTTCTCTATAGGTTATGCAAAATGAACATTGCTGGGGGAAAAAGCCAGTTTTGAACAATGAAACAATACTGGGCAATAATTAAAAAAAGAAGAATTAACAAAGGAAGGTGAAGGTGATTGAAGTGCTGTTAGAGCACATTGAGACCCTAGAATTATTTAGAAATAGATTTACTTTCTTTGTATCTTTCAGATCATTTTCTTATGTTTGATATTTTAATTGTCTTTTAAAAATGAAAACCTGTTACATGAGCATGTTACATCTTCAGTTAGGTCCTTTTTCAGTGCGAGGTGTCTGAGTGCATAGCTGAAAACAAATGAAACTGGATAGAATGTAACTGGATAAATTGTTTTTATTTTTCTATAATGAGCACGCTGAATTTTTATTTTCTATAACTAGGACACTGCTGCTACGTCTATACTGCAGGCTTTTTGCGCAAGTAAATTTACAGTACAGCATTGGAAAACAGGGTTCTTCCGGAAGTGTTATTCCTCTCCCCGCGAGGAATAAGCCCTCTTGCACAAGAGCTCTTCCACAAGAGGGCAGTGTAGACAGGCAACATGAATTTCTTCTGCAAGAAGCCCCTATGGTTAAAATGGCCATCAGAGCTTTCTTGCGCAAGAGAGAGTCCACACTGCCATGGATGCTCTTGCGCAAAAGCAGTGTGGATGTTCTCTTGTGGAAGGTTTTTTGCACAAGAACTCTTCCGCAAAACTGTTCTTGTGCAAGAAGCCTGCAGTGTAGGCGTAGCCTGCGTTTTTATCTAATCTATGGGGGGAGAAATTCTGCACACAGTCTGCAGCATTTCCTGTGATGGTGAATTTATATTTTTTCAGGAGAGAGGGGAATTCAAAGTTGATTATATATTCATGGATTTACATTAATAAAATATCTGGAAATAAATATTTGTTTCACTTCACTGTTTTTTGCAATAGTTAGATCATGTGAATAATAATAATTACAGCAACAGTGTGCCAGCACATATAATTGCATCAATCAGTAGCATTCTGCAGTTATCTACTACTCTTCACTGTGTCATTTTAAACTTCACTTTTAAATATCCTTTATGGCTGATGCCTTAAACACAAGGCTTGTTTACACTGTGTTGCAGTGCAGACTACAGATTTCAGAACTGTACACCAAAATGTTCTGTGCTAACTGCCCCACATGGATGTAGCAAGTGTGTACTAAAAGATATCCAATTCACATTAACGTGAACTATAGTAAGAGACACTTTGGTTCACTCTTCAAATCTCCATAGTTTGCCAATGGCACGTTGTAGACATAGCCATGTTCATTGATTGGACTCTTTAACTGAATTGAATTTATGTAACAATGATTTTACCTACCTTCTGAACAGGACATAATCAGAATAGCTACGTCTGACATCAAATTGTACCTTGAGTAGTTAAAGAATTAACAGATTTCTGGTTAAAGCACTAATGCTTCTAAATACAAAGGCCTAGAACATGCAAATATCAAGTCTATCTAGGGCAGATGTACAGACAGGATACAATGTTTGATTTACAGCTATGATTTCTGATTTTATATCTTCCTCAAACAAATGGCACCTTTTCTAAAGCACTGAGGTGTTCCTCCCCCTTTCCCTAGGCATCCTTTCCATACAGCCTACACTCCATCAAACCTTTCTGAGCCCTTTAGCATTGGAAGCCTTCCCAGGTGAAGTTATAGACCAGAATCCACCAGGAATATGGAGTGAACACTATACACATACCCACTTTCTCTACCAAATACAACTGTTCTCCTATGGAATGTACTGTAGACATATAATCCAATTTTCACACCTAAAAATACATGGTCCTGTTTTATGCTACTATTCATTTGGAGCATCCATTCACATTGGAACATTTCTATGGTCACAAAGACATCTTTAATGCATGTACAAAAATACTGTGTCTCAATTCTATTCTATGAGCCTAATGCAGTAGGGGTATGATTGAACAGTATTGGTGTATTAGGAACTTACCTTTTCTAAGCCACCATCTGGACCCATTGTTTTAATAAAATGTATTAAATGGCTAACATTACACAGCAAGTAAATTATACCTGTCATATTAACATGGATCAAGCTAATAAAATCCAAAGATAATGATGAAATAAACTTCAAAGGGAACAATGTTGAGATGTTTAGGCAACAAATTTGACATGTTCTTGAACTGGTAAATTATAGGTGGACTTAACAATTTGAAGCCATGTACATGTATTAGCATAGTGGTTTTCAAACTATGGGACACAATCAAGTTGTGGAATGTCAGGCACTGGGTCTCATTGCTGTAGGGTGATCAGGTGACCAGTGAGGATGCTGAGGCAGGCTACCTGCCTGTCCTGGCACCGCAGACTGTGCTGTACCCCAGAAGTGGCTGGCAACAGGCCTGGCTCTGAGGGTAGTAGGGGGAGAGTGTATAGGATTCTGCACAATGCCCCTGCCCTGAGCACTAGCTCCGCACTCCCATTGGCTGGGAACCTGCTGCTGGCTGCTTCTGGGCTGCAGCATGGGCTGCAGTGCCAGGAGAGGCAGGAAGCTGCCTTAGCACCCTTGCTGCACCACTGACCAGGCGTTGATCACAGGTAAACCCCTCCTCCCGCAGCCCTGAGCCCCTCCAAAGCCAGAGCCACCTCTTACACCCCAAAGTGCTCATCCTCAGCCCTACTTTAGAGCCCACACGCTATTGAAATTATGTTGGGTCACAGGCATCAATGATTTTCTTCAACTGGGTCATGAGAAAAAAAGTTTTAAAACCACTGTATTAGCCTGATCATAGCGCATGAGAATAGCTTTAGTTATATAAGACCTAGACTAAATGACACCTTAAAAATTGGTCCTGCAATGGCAAACTTTCTAAAATTACTACACTGGAACAGGAAATCCCTGACCAACAATAATGTCACATGAAAATAAATTAAATTTGGGGCTGAAATGGTGAGGGGGGCATGAAGAGCTTTAAACTGATTCTGGGAGACAAAGTAAACAGAATGGGGAGAGGAGTAACCCTGTGTCTCATGAGTGTCACTATATTAATTATGCCTTTGAATCATAGCACCCTTGTGAAATATATATATTACGAACAGGAGAGGTAAGTATAAGGACTCTGCCCTGTAGGACCTCAGAGTGCTGCGTGAATCACTATAAGAGAGTCTTTGCAATCCCACACTGAGCATCAATCATGGAAGCAGCAACCCATGGTAATGGAGTTTTTCCAAGACACTATTTTACTTGGTCCGCAAGAACTCTGGTTGAGTCCAGGCTCTCTCAGGTACCTTCATGTGGCATACAGCAAGGCTACGTCTACACTAGCAGCTTCTTGTAGAAAAACAGACGTTCTTCTACAAAAACTTGCCAGCTGTCTACACTGCACGAGTGTTCTTCCAGAAGTAAATTTACAGTATAGCATTGTAAAACAGGGCTTCTTCCGGAAGAGTTATTCCTCTCCCGACAAGGAATAAGCCCTCTTGTGCAAAAGCTGTTCCAGAAGTGGCCAGCAATATGGTGCTGAGTTGCTTAAACTCAAACATAGAGCAGTGTTTCCCAATTTTATTTGGCCACGGAACCCTTTTAAACTCAAAAGAATTTTGCGGAACCCCTAATAAGTCATATATGTAGCTGAAAAATTTTTAAATACAAGAAATCACACAGCTATACTAAAGTAAAGTATTCGCGAGAGCACTGCCTGTGCACTTCCATACAAGCAACTGGTTTGACAGCTGAAGCTTTGACGTTGTCGGACGCAGTGCTAGTATATTCGTATTCAGTCACCCGTGTGATCCACGCTCCCTGAGAGTGAGTATGGGGATTTACGGTGGTATATAACAGGTGATTGCACCACCGAGTGCGCACAGTGCTGAGTAGTGACATCATCATCCCCACTCTCTGGCTAAGCTGGCATTACACAAGGACACTTATCGTGGCGCAAACAAATGAAAATTGTTTTCAATAAAATTCATAAATGATTAAATTTTTTTATCATAAAATGTTGTTGTAATGGAATTTTCTCACGGAACCCTTATTTTCACTTTGCAGAACCCCAGGGTTCTGCAGAACACCATTTGGGGAAAACGGACATAGAGAATGGATGTAATGGGTATTACACTTCCAAAAATCACCCAGCTAATCTTTACCTTATACACACTTTTATTAATACTAATAATACATGCACTTTACCTATGCATCATTATACATGTCATAATTGGCTTGGTTTATTTTTAGGAGCCAATCCCTAGACAGCAGGAGTTCTCCTTTTTCTTGCAGAGGCCCTTCCCATAACATGCTATAAAAGCTCCAGGGCCCAGCGGGGAGGCAGGGGAGACCTTCTGACTTTGGGCTGGGTGGGAAGGAACAATTGGGCATAGGCATAGTTTTACTTCTACTTCGGAGGAGCAAGGGCTGGTGGGGCTTGGGCCAGCTGGGCGCAGTGGGGTCCAGGGAGGGAGCACCACCTCTACTACCTGATTCATTGGCCACCAGCCTGTCTGGGCTGTGGAGGGGGACGCAATCAAAAAATAAAGTGGGGGCTCAACTCAGAAAGTTTAAAAACTGCTCAGGGTATAGGTAGGGATAGTTAGGGACTGGGTGAAATTAGAAGAATAATTCAGGGTGCAGAGAGGAGAGAGCTAGGAGTTGTGTGCAGGCAGGAGAGTAGCCTGGAATGCCAGCTGGGAGTAGGGAGGCGGTCTCCCAGTGTGGGTCCTAGCTTCATCCTCATGCCACTCCTGGCTTGGATGGTGATGCTGGCTTTAGCCTCATGCCCCTTCTAGCTTCATGGTGGAGGGTGCTGGCTTCAGCCCTGCAATGCTTCCAGTGTGCAGGTGTCAGTCCTGTGCCACTCCCAGCTTCAGCCCCACGGGGTGCTGGGACTCCCAGCTGCAGCTCCACAGGGTTGTACCAGGACTCTGGGCATCAAGTTTCAGCTGCGGGGCCCCGCAGTCTCCCTGAAAAGGTTCATGAACCCCAGGTGGCTGTGGACCCCTGATTGAGAACCACTGCTATACAACACAGACTGTCCATGTGCAGCTCAT